TTAGCATTAAAGAGACGGCGTAGACATAATTTCCAGTGACCCTCTTAATGGTATCTATCTAATCTTTCAAAACTGCGATAAGAGCAAATTTAAAATAATTTATAATAATAAACAGTCTTGGTCGTATATATTAATGTAATGAAGACGACTTAGATAGATAGATAGATATATATTTGACTAAATATTTAATTAAAAACAATTTCAATTGCACAATTTTTACATTTTAATTTAGCAAGGGCCTCTCTAACCACTGTTGGTTGTTTTGAATGAGAGGCCCTTCTGCAGCGATACATCCATGTTCAATTTAAATAAAACCAATTAAAACAAAAACAATTTAGAACAAAAGGAAAAGGAGGAAAAGGAAAAGTAGTAGATAGAGGAAAGGTATTGAAAAATAGAGAGGAAAAGGAGAAGAAAGGATCGTAGGGGGGGGCGGGGGAAACCCAGCACACAAAGTTTATAATGTTTATTTTTTATTTTGTTTTGTTATAATAACAGGGGAAAGGGGATAGAATCAAGATTTAGAAAGAAAAGCAATTTAGATTTATTCAACGAAAATTACTATATTCTTCAAGAAAACTATTTTTAAGACTTGTTTTAAAACTTGCTAGGGTGCCCAAAGATTTTATTTCCAATGGAATAGAGTTATCGCAGTTTTTATTTCATCCAATTTTTCAAACAAAAGAGGCAAAAAACATGCTTGTTTACATGTAAACTTATAGCTAGAAAAAATATTTCAAAGGATTAAAAGCATTATTAATAACATGTCGTCTTCATTGAAATGATATAATGGCCGCCCCCTGTATCACAATTTTGTCTCGTAATACCCATGTTTATCAAAGCAAATATATTGATGATATAAATAAATAGAAAGTGTTTATTAAGGAAAGGAAACTAAGGATTCTATAATTGAATTTCAGGTATAAAAGGAACTAAATAACAACAAACACAACGTGAGGAAATTACAGTTATCAGCCCTCACTAAGAATATAAAACTAAATACAAAAATATAAACCTATAGTAGTTTATATTGAGGGGGGGGGGGT